TAATTTTAAATTAATTATAATAAAATTAAAAGCTATTACTATTAATTTATTAATTTTCTTATTAATTCCTTACTAAGTAGCTATTTTACGATTTTGCCTTTATTCTATAATTTTACTGCCTACTCTTTGAGTAGGGCTCCCTTTTGGTCAGATCCATGAGTATAGGGAATATAAGGAGTATTTACCCTAATAATAAAAAGACTTAGTTAGACTCCTTAGTAAGTATATTTTAATATTATCTATTGAGGTCTTTAAGTTTTCTTTGTCCCCAAGGCTTTATTTGTAATAATGTGCTTAATATATTGCATTCAGTTTCCAAGGTGGCCTCGGGGAGCAAGAAAACACCAGACCTTGATACAGGGTGTTGAAATAAACTTAGCAAGGGGCTCCCTAAGCTTGGCGGGTAGTCAGAGTGGGAGATATTTGTAAGAGAATCACCAGTAAAAGAAAGAACAGACACATTTAATAAAATAACTGGATGCTTTTGTGACCCGTATAGAAAGAACCAATTGATGATGGCTGTTTGCACCCACGCCCGAGTTCGAGTTCGAGTACAGCAGAATGAATGTACCGGGAAGCCAAGAATACCTGAGCGCAAGGCTTTGTCTCAACCTCAGCTGTGACTAAGGTAAGGTACCACAAGCCAAAAGGTACCTTAAACAGAGGCTCTGCAGTAAACCTTCTGCATGCGATCTCCAGTGGGGTACATAAGACTAGCGGCTGAACATGAAGGTTCTGATTGGTAGCTGTGGGACTGACCAACTGAAGCTTTCAAGGGGCTTCAAGGCAATGCCAGCTCACAGTAGCCCCAGGGTGTAAGAAGACTTCTGACGTTAAACTGAGGTGCTAAAAATACTTAGTCTAAGATCCTCTAAGTTTTTTCTAAATTATACTAAATTTGCCTAAGTTTCCCTAAGGCTTTTTGTCACCTACGATAGAGGTCCTAAGTTTTATTGCATCCCATTGAGTAGCAGCTCTAGCACACCTCGAGAAAGGCACTGTCCAGTTTTGAGCCAATCATAGCGCGCAGACTCCGTAGCTAGGTTAACCAGCCAGCTTTCAATTGGCTCCCGATACACGCTTCGTCACTGCTCTTTCCAGGCTTCGAACAGCACATCCCAAGGTGGCCGCGCCAGTTTTCTCTCCATCCATCCCATCCATCACAAAGTCCACCGCTCACACTCTTCCGTTCACGTCAACGATCCATCACGATCACCCGTCACGTTGACGCCGTAAGATGCCTTTATGACCACGCGGCTGATTTCATCGCCATTTTAAAACTACACGTTTATTTTGCGATCTCTTTCTTTGTTACAACCATCGATATCGACTTCTTCCGTGTCCAGTTTGCGATCCACCCAAAATGTTTTCTCCATCTGTCGCTCAGGGTGGCCCTGCGACGGCAACTCGTTCACGCCGCCGTCAACGTCCCTTGAGCTCCGAACATGTCGCTCAGCAGCCAAAAGCCAAGAGACAGAGAGTTCCCTTGACAGAGCAGACTTTTGTCAACCCCGAGGCCCAGCAGGAAATGATCGAGGTAAAGACCGATGCCAAGGTCGCAGCTCTACCCGCCAAAAACAAAAACAAAAACATCGAGCCTCCCGAGAGCCCCAGCCCAGTGCTGCGCAAGGAACTGAACGTTCGCGCGAAGAAGGCAAAGCATGGCGACCGCGCCGCTAATAAAGGCGACGGAAGTCTTGTTTTGGTAAGAATTGATGTTTTCTTTGTTTCGATGATGCTGCATATTAACAATGGACTGTCCAGACAAGCACAAACGCATATAGCGTCAGTAAGCTTCCAGCTCTACCTGACAGGATTCGCACAGATTGGTCAGGTAAGTCTGGATACCACAACTTTAGTCCTCAAAAACGTACTCATCCGTATCATCACAGCCTACCAAACTGCCGACATTTTCTCCACAGGCTATGCCCTTTCTCTCACCCAAACACACGCCCTTGTCTGGCCCTACACATCGACATCGCAATCACCTGAAACCTTTTCTTTCAACCTCCCATCAACGTCCAGACCCAATGATTCCCTTCCTGTAGGATGCCTCGTATCACCGTCTGCATCATCAGCAGAGCCTGGGCTGGTTGTGGTCATGGGAGGTAGTGGAAAAGTCGTCTATTGGGAGTCGATTGCGAGCGCGGCTACATTTGTCTTCATGAAGAAGGATCGGACTGGAGTCGAGTACACTATATCGGGAATGCAGACTGGGGAAAAGGTTGTGGCTATCACGAACGCCGAATCCGCCGGATTTATTCTCACCTTCAACTCTGGTCGCCTTGCCTACATGAATGTGCGTGACGGCCAAGGCCGCCCTGCCATTTCTGTACAGTTTCTCCGCAACAGCCTGTCACCCTCCACAGGTGGAATCTTTGGCAGCATTCGACATGCTTTTCAACACTTGTCCCTGAAAGGAGATGTTGCAGCTGTCCGTGCGGACCGATCCTCGCGAACAGGCGAGAGAAACATCGTGGCCCTCACCAGCAAAGGCCGACTGCATGCATGGAGAGTCCACCGCGGAGGCCATAACGAGGTGATCGGCGACGCAGACGTGCGTGAAAATATCATCGCCGCCCTCCAGGAGACCGATCCCGCATCTCAGGAATTCCCCCATGATTCTTTCGAGGCAGTTGATTTCACTTACGTGCCAAAGGGCTTGGAATCCAAGTACCTTGAGTTGAGTAGGCTCAGCGAGGCTATGGCCACCGACGATTCCTCGGTACAGCATCTTCTGATACTTGTCAGCCTGACTTTGCGAAGCACGGCTCGCTATGCTTTAGTTGAAGCTATCCTGACGCCCCAAGGATGCCAAATAGGGATGATTCGTCCCATAACCTCATATAGTGCACCATCTTCACCCTCCGATTCCGCACGGCCACGTCTATACCTTCCTCGCCCTGCCCTGGTTGCTTTCGTCGTCTTCGATCGCGCCACTGTTATCGCATCAATTGCTGTAGCACCCCAGTCTCCTGAGTCGCAGCTACAAACCGACAGTCACATTTTACCTGCCGCTTTCGAAGATGTCGTTGATTTCCGCGAAGACGATGTGCATGATATCATCGGCTCAGGGTTTGAAGAAGTTTCGCCTGCCCTTAGCCATGAAGAGCATCGACTTCACCGACCAAGGACAAAGAATCCCGCCGTGGTTCTCATGGTTCGAGGTGCCGGCGCAGTGCGAATCGTGACAACTGACGTGGATAAGTTTGCTAGTGACAAGCCCCCCAAGGTTTCTGCGAAGAGCAAGATCGAACAGGCCGTTTTCTACGGCGTCAAACAAGACAATCCTCTGGTTTTCGACGGACGACAAGAAATCAAATTTTCTAACGAAGAAGTTGCCCATGCCGCACTTGAAGTTAGCCACGAGATCTTGAGCTCAAGCACTCCTTTTATTTCCACTCTTCCGGCTTCGCTAGAGGACAATCTCCGAGCTCGGTCGACTGCACTTGAGAGATTGATAGCTCAGCTTAAGATGATGGGGGCAGACCTCGATCGTAAGACACGTTGGAGTCTGCTATATGATGCCGAGAAGATGCATGTGGCTACATTGCTCTGGAAACGACACGAAGCCTTCACTGCATCACGACCAGCGAATGCTAAGAAGAGCCTTATTGGTTATATTGTCGAGTTCATTCATCAAGATGATAAACACAATCCTGTTGCTGAGGTTGGTGAGGTTGATCGAGTTCGATACTGGTTTACTCGGGATATTTTCCGCCTCGAGATACTTGTAGCTTGGGCGTATCAAGTCATTAAGACGCTCTATAGGGAGCATTTGCTTGACGAGGCCAAGCTAACTGCCATGCTCCACGAAGCTATCCAAATCAACACTTGCACACATGTCGCGGCGCTCGATTTCCGAAAGAACAACCTAAGCGCTTACGGTCTTGGGTTTGAAGAACTGCGCCTAGGTATTCTTCGTGACGGATACGACGACCTTCCCGAGCCATGGACTGGTTCTCATTTCGTTGCCAACAACATTAAACGTCTGGTCGACCTCGCAGATCAATGGTTGCTTAAGGATCAAGATGCAAGTGAACCGGCCAGGGCTTCAAATCAGCCGGATCATAAGGTGAAATCCAAGATTTTCGAAGAAATGCCAACCCTTGTCGATGGAATGCTCACTTCAGTTCTGGAATATGCTCGTTGGTCAGCAACGCGCCCTGAGCTGAAGAACATGTCGCAGGAGTTTGCTAAGCTATACAAGACGAGTTCATTCGAGAAGCCCCTTGCCCTAGCACGATCAGGCAGGTGGGAGGAGGGAGCCTCTATCGCTGAGAAGCACGAATGCCTCCGTGCTCTCCCTATGATTTTGCTGGATCACATCCAAATGCTCGAAGATCGCCTTGCTGAGCCAGACTTGTCACTTGTTGATAGACAAACCTTTAAACGACTGAGGGACAACAAGAAGGCCAAGTTGGAGAACAGCTTCTCCGTCTATGGCCAGTCATTTGCATTCCCAGCATATGAGTTCTTGCTCCAAAAACACGGAGTTGAAGCTGTCCTGGAATTCGATCTCGACAAGTTGGGCTATAAGACCCAGTTTCTGCGTAGCAAGCCTGAACTGGCGCGAATATCGTGGATCAACGATGTGCAGCAAGAGAAAGACGTCGGTCACAGCGCAGACACTCTCGTGACCCTTGCACTTACGAAGGAACAGCAAGTATGGAACAAGAAGATTGAGTTAAGTCTCGGAAAGCTTGCTCTTCTTGCTGAGCTCGAGGAGAAGACCACTGGTTCGGGTGGCCTCAAGGTTAACGCCGACGACGCGCGTGCCGAGGAGAAACTTAAGAAGGTCGACCAAGAGTTAGTTGCCATCAGGATCCAAGATCAACTATACAACCAGGTTCTCCCCAGCACATACGATGCTGTGGATGACGCAGCAGCGCTTAATTTCGCAATGGAAGTTCATAGCATGAACATACCGCGGCGTCAGAAGGCCCAGCATCAAATATTTGAAGACGGTATGAGGCGGCTTCTAAAGCACGAGGCTCTGGATGCAATGACACTCATTGACCTCCTGACCCTGATTTACCTGAAGCCTGAGTCCCGCGCTGAGATTCCCAATCCATTCTGGCTAGCTCTTTTGGTTGCCGAGAGCAGCTGCCACAGTGATGAGGTCAAAGAGGCTAAGCGGATGATTTGGAGGAGACTATTTATACGCGATGATTGGGCTAAAATCAACGACACACAGCTCAAGGATGATCGTCAGGTGGTTGAGAGATTGGCAGAGACTGAGCTTTATTCAATGCTGACTGACTGCATCAGCTTCCGTAAGTGAAATGTTTATCTAACTTCTGGGGAACACATTCTGACTTGAATACAGAAGATCCACATGAGCCTTTCCGACCTCTGTCTCCGCACGAAGCTCTTGGTGCTTTTACCGAGAACCTTGACCGTCGGTTCCGCGACTTTGAGGCGTCCTTCAGGATGAAGCTGGTCGACATCATGAAGCTGGAGGATAAGATACTCCATCAGCATGTGGAGAAACATCGTCTCGGTGACTGGGTCCGCTCTACCTTCGACGCCGCTCGAGTAGAGCTAGACAGCACACTGGACAACGCCACTAGGAATGCTGCCGCCCCCCAAGTTGCTGAGCCCAATACTGTAATGAGTGGCTCAATATTTGATTATGGCAGCTAACTCGTCAACCTCATGGGCGGTTCTAGGTCAGTCCCAGCAGCTGATGCTCGACTCGTCACTCTCATATCTTTCCTCACTTGTATGATACAAGGCTCATTCGAGATATGCCCCAAGAGGCATGGAGACATGAATGACTGCCAGTATTATGATTACGGCAAATATCAACGCAGATGACTTCTATACACATTACAACGCAACACGCATACATGCACAGCAAAAAAGGGGATTTTATTGTTGGCCTAGGAGAATGACCGGGGCATTGGTTTTATGTACTTATTTTGCGTCTGGGGGAAATCATCTGTTGCTGCAGAGTTGATCCTTTATGTACAAGCTATTCCTCACACCCTAGTGGTGTGAGTACTAGTTCTCAAATTTCCAGAGATAGGAGTAAGGGGTGGATTCGTGGTTGGATTACCACATCAAGGCGTGTCAAATGCGCTATTCTCGCGTTAATAAAGACCTTTCAGTATGTACTTTATTTGCATACTTTTGTGTACACATCTACCTCACGTCTATAAAATCATGGCACTCAACATATTCAAATACGCAACTTCGTTCCTGTCACTCATGTATAGGCGACTTGTGGTTTTGGCTGCAGTCTTGATTCATTTCGGCATCATGTACATAATCCATACGCCACATCGTCCGCCCGGTACCCGTTGTGCCGTCTAGCATCACTCCTTTTGACCCCAAAGACCATAATTTGCGGAATAGACGGCCATTAGCAATGCCTAAAGCAAAATCCGAAAAATGCATCCGTCATCGAGACCATACAGCTGAAGAAGTCGCTCATTTGCAGCATAGGGCAACTGCATAGCTAGAACGGAACACCGCCAAGATACATGCCCTCCCCAAAACCACAAGCCAAGAACTTTGTTGGCAGTGGGCGGTGCAGTATCGAAAGGAAGAGAAGATCGTGGGGCAGCTTAGCCCTGCATCTTTCTTCGCTTGCCGACCTGGGCGGAGAAACCAGTCTTGATAGCGGTAACACTTCGTCGGGAGCCGCAGTTGTTGCAGGTGATGAAGTAAAGACGGTTCTCACCCTTGTTGAGTTCGGTATCAGGGGATTTGCAGGTCTTGCAGGTGACATACTCGACTGAAAGAAGGAATGATTAGCAAACAAAAACCCGCAGTCGAAAAACTGCAAAGACTTACTGATGTATTTTCGGACAACGTTCTCGATCTGCTTCTGCTGGAAACGACCCTTGATGACCAACCTTCGGCTTCCGTCAACGGAACCGCTGGTACCCAACTCGGCAAAAAGATAGGCGGTAAGATGCTCCTCGGTTCTCTTCATACGCTTAGAAATATCGGCGATGTTGGCAAAGACGGTTTTTCGGTTGCCTTCTCGCATACACTGAGGAGGGGGGATCTTGTAGCTCTTGGTTCCTGGGGAAGTGTGGTCGGGGTTTCTCTCGGTGAGTTGGTGGAAGAAGCGAGAAAGGAGCATGCTGTAGCCAATAGTCTTGGTCTCATCGTGAGCCCAAATGCCGGTTCCCTCGTTCATATCACCCTCCTGCTCCTGGGGAACCTCCTCGACTTCCTCGCCCTCCTTGAGCTCAAGTTTCTCGAGCTGCTTGGTGAAATCATCGTCGCCCTTGGGAGCCTTCTTCTTCTTCTTCTTCTTCAGAGTCAGGTCAAGGCCTCCATCCTCGGCGGGTGCAGCATCGTCAGCGGGGGCGGCGTCGGCGTCGGCATCGGCATCGGCATCGGCGTCATCGACCTTCTTTGACTTCTTCTTCTTCTTCTTGAGCAGGGAAAGGTCGAGACCACCATCCTCAGCTGGGGGAAGGTCCTCAGCGGCTGTCGTTTGCGAATCAGTAAAGGACTCAAGGGCGGCAGAAAGCGGCGGCGTACGAGGCGTATGGGACTGAGCCGAATCCTTGGGTTCTTCGGTAGCGTTGACCATGGTCACTGAACCGTCAGCGTCGACAACAACTTGTTCGTCGGTGAAGGCAACGGATTTGCGTGATTTGCGTTCGGTTGGTACCTGTAAATAAAACAAAAAGAATAAAGAGGTTAGTAAAGGATTCGATTGAGGGATGTGGTGTTGTTTTGTGGCTGTAGAGGATAGATGATGATGTGAAGGTGGCGGTTGGGAAAATGTGAGTCAAAGGCCTAAACCGTAAAATAAATCGATGTCGAATCGCCTGCTTCCCCCCCAGAAAGTGGTGTACGACAATACCAGAGGTACTTGCGCACCAACAAGAGGCAGTGGGGTAAAAGGCGATAAGAGGAACCTGATAGGCTCGTTGGTGAGGCACTCGAGGGTTTTGGAGGGGTAAAAGATTGGACCTGTGTGGTCCAGAGGGTACAAGACACGCCATGAAAGGCATGGCACGAGCAGTTGAACTTCAAAGCCAGGCCTGTATTGTAGTGGGTAGGTAGGTATAGTAGGTTGCATTTCGTATCATGTCCCAGCAGCCTCTTCAATAAGGGCTGGTCGGAAATATATGTGCAATTTGTTGCAGGCTTGTCACTCACCTCGCCCTCCATGATTGCTATGTGGCTGCTTCTTGATTTTGCTGTTAATGGCCAGTTGCTGGTTTATTGGGGTTTTTTGCTGGATGTGGGTGTCGCAAATGGGCGGCTTCTTCGTATAAGGTACTGCGAAGATCTTTGGCTTGGGGCTTCTCGCGCAATGATATATCGTTTGTATTCTTGGATCGCAGAGTTCGCGCGCGCTGTTGGTATGCTTCGTTTGATGGATTTAGTTGTGGGTTTAGGATGTAGAGGGAGATCAGTCCAACGTCATGGGCTGAGTGAGCGATACCTTGAGTCAACCAGAGCCCAAACCAAAGTGCAGGTGGCCCCCAAGCTTCACGATAGTGAGTCACGGGAATATCCACGTGATGCTCTACAAAGCGGTTCGCACCCAATCAAGTGGGTAGCTTGTCAGAGCTCCCCCAGTTCTTGTCGGAGCCTAGCTCCGGGCCCCGATGCGACTACGGCCTTTACAACTGCACAGACTACTAGGTATCAACCACCTCGATCGACGGGAGGTTCCATTGCTGATCGTCGCAACCCAATTACATCTGAAGATACGGCAGCGCTCTCCGTTTACTCCTCTATACTCGGAACACTTGGGACTCAGCAGTCTCTCAACAAAGAAGTTACTCTAAAATAGCTAACTACCTCTCAACTTGACGCTCAATACCAGCAATTCACGACCTCCGAAGACATCCCTAACGTCCTGTGGCCTACAAACACATCCCGAACTGCATTGGCTGAGCGAATCTGTCTTCAGGTCGCTCACGTCACGACTATCAACATGGCCACCGACTCATCCCTTGTTGACCTCCATGATGCGTCCATGTCTGATGACAAGGACGATCTGGACTCACTCCCATCCATATCTACCGACGACATCTACTCCGATACCTCCGACACTGATGCTCAAGCGGAGTGGGAGCGTAGCCTCGAACAGCTACAATTGATACTGACAATGATGATTGTGCCCTGGATGGGTAAATACTTTGGTCGCAAATTTGCCTACTGGAGTGAGTAATTCATTCACTTACTAATACCACTATTTATCCAAGATTGATGAGTTCTCTAACCAGTGGTTGTCTAGGTTGGTCACGATACATGGAGTGGGCGCATAACGTCGACATTCGATTGACAAATAAGGCGACCTTCAAGGCGGCTGGTGTTGTGGAAACAGCGGCAACGTTATAGACATACTTCAAGCCAGACGATCCGATCTCGATATGACTGGATGACCTGAGTAATATGCATGGCTTTCACAAGGTGTTGGGGTACAAGTATGCATATGTTTTTCTTTCTTTGTTTCAATAATATATGATTTCAAATACGCTTGTTTTGTTCCTCCTGTCAACCAAGAGACTCTAGCACGAACCTAGTGTACTCTAGTGTACTAACAACCGGATATCCAGGGAAAACTTGAAAACCAAAACCGTCTTTGTATTAAAGTTTCATTCACTGCATGATCATTGCCCTTCATTCAACACCTGTTCTGAATGAACTACCCGTCCCAACTCCCCATCCAAAAGACTAATACATCTAACAATCCTGGTATAACAATCCTTAATGTTGAACGCTCTCTATATCCTAATGCAGCTTGATACCGGTACTCAAGAGTTGGTGATGCCCTAGGGCGGGTTTGGTGTAACGGAGCTTAGGGAAGCATGTACACCGTGTTCCACAGAGTTTGTGGCCATGACGCTTGCGCTGATTGTACTAGAGCAGAGAACAGACAAGATCATGACCGGGCCCTCTTTAGGCAGCTGAGCCGTTACATTATGGTTTTCTGATGTGTTTACGTCCCATCAGACGCTTGAAGAAATCTGAGACATTGATGGCCGAGAAGCGGCACTGCGAAGGGAGCCGAACTGATTGCGTGCAGTTCTGATGGTCAAGAGGAGACTTCCCGACATGCAGGCGAACAGGAACCATATGAAGACAGTGCTTGCTTGTAGTCGACGGCACCGCCCCTCATCACTCTCTGAGCCCCAGGCGATCCAGTCTCCAGGCAGAGCTTTGGGGTTAATATCTCCGCAGTTGACGACACGCAGCTTTGCTGCAAGAACAATGGCACCGATGAAGGTGAAAAGAACAGCTATACCATCCAACGGTAGCTGCATGAGTGGCTTGTCGAGAGCTGAAACAAAGAAAGCGAGAAGGCCGATGATGCAAACGATCCAGCAGACGATGGCGATAAACATGATAAAGTTGACGGCAGCTGTTGCAGAGCCTGCGGCGTCAATATTTGACGCCATGACGTTGCCGATGAGAGCCGTTAGGAGGAGCGTCATGAGCAGAGCGACGCTGCGCAGTATCATTTGGATGAGGTTGTATCGCATGGTGGGCAACGGATGCTGGATAGCAGTGCGTGGTAGAGTTGATACGAGGTGTAGAACAGTAGTAGTAGCACAACAGCCGTGGCACTATTACAGATATCGAAGCGACTGCACTATGGTTGTGCACCTTGTGCAAGGAGTTGATCCGAGTGTTGGAAGTGGTGAATTGCAAAGGCAGTC